TACCCATATGTGTCCATGACTTTGTTTCCCTATTCTACCCAGACTAACACAGCCATCCACACAGTTGAGGGCCACTGTGTGCTGAGGGGAGGGAACGCAGAGGGGTCAGGGACATGACCTTGGAATCGCACGGGCTCAGGTCCAGATCCTGGCTCCATGGCTTCCTGGTCATCTGTCTACAAGTTGCTTTCTCTGTGTGTGTGTCCCTCCATCTCCACAGCCGTCTCAGGTTATGGGACAAAGCTTGACTGTCAAGGGTCTGTTGTGGTGAGACCTGAGGTCTGAGGACAGGGCCCCATGGTCTTATGGGGTCTTAGTTTAGGCTTGGCTGCAGAATTTCTCAAAGACCCTCTCTCTCGTCAAAATGGGACAGGAATGAGGAGAAAGGAAGTTGAAGGTGGGTCATACTGAGCTTCTTTTCCTTCGGTGAAGTTTTTTGGTTTTGTTTTTCCTTTGGGTTGTGACTTGGGAGAAGGTTGATCGAGGAAATCTGTTTCCCACGACAAGACACTGTGTGTCTTGTCCCTGAGGGCAATCCCCAAGGTTCAATGTCCCTTCTACCCTCTATTTCCTAGCTGTGACCCCTCTCCATCCCTCGCCCCTCTTGCCTGCTGAGCCTGGTCCTTGGGCAAAGGCTGCTCTTGTGATCTGGAATGGTCAGTTGTTCTACGGAGGCCTTAGCTCCCTAGAGGTGCCGCCCCTTTTAAACTCCCTGCCAAGGAGTCTAGTCCGACCCAGAGCGACCCTACAGGGCAGAGTGGAACCGCCCCTATGGGCTTCTGAGGATGTGACCCTTCTGAGGAACAGAAAGCCTCGTTTTTCTTCTGCAGAGCTGTGGCGTGGTTCAAACTCCTGACCTCCTTGTGAGGCCAGCAGCCCAGCACATAACCCACTACGCCCTCTGCCAGGGCTCCTTACTCCCTTTATAGAAACAAGGCTGAGAACTGGGTGAACATCGAGCCGTGGCCGTAAGTTCAGCTCCAGGTCTGAGGGTCCTTCCTTCAGGTGTGTGAACCCTGGGCTGGATCTCACCCTCCACCAGCCCCAAAGCTGCCAGCGAATCAGGGGGACCCAGGACAACTCACCTCACTGAGCCGGACTGCAGTCTGGGGTCTCCATCATAGTTCCATTCTGTGGCCGGTCCTCCAGGGCCAGGAAAAGGCAGCTCTGCGGGCTGGGCTCCCAGCAGCCTGGCCTCCAAGGGCTCCGGCAGAGAGGGGACCGCGCTGCCCACCCACACAGGACTGCACGGCCATGCCCCCCTGCAGTCACGCCTGTCAACTAGAGGCAGGACAGCAGTGTCACTTCTGGGCGGCAGCACTGAAGGGCCGGTGTCCCATCCTCCGCTATCTCTTCTCTAACTTGGGGGTGGCCTTGGAGGCACTCCTGCCATTGTGGGGCCCTGAGATCAAAGCCGCCCGAGCTCTGAGCCACTGCAGGGAGAATGGCCGCCCCCAGAGCACCACCCACAGCCCCTGAGGTGGTCTGACTGCAGCCCAGCCAGCCTGTCCTGACTTAGTCTCCACCATGGCCTAGGGGACAGGTCACAGGCACCACAACCCTGCCTTCTCCTGAAGGGCTGTGCTGCTCCGCCCTGCTCCACTCCAGGGGGACGGCAACTGGGAGGGGGGCTTAGTGAACTGATTGGTCCCAAAGACCAAGCCTGGGAGGAGGCAAGAGCTCTACCCCCTGCACTGTGGACCCCGGTGACCGCTCAGGCTCCCCACCCCCCAAGCCTCATCTCTGAGGCCCCTGGCCCTGTTGGAAGTCCCTGCTCTGCCCCTACAAAAGCGGGTGGCTATGCCCCCAGGCCTAGGAGTCCATCTGGCAGAGTTCTCGGGCAGGGTGTCAGGGCAATGATGCTATCCCCAGGGCCCCAGCCCTTCCATGGCTGCAGGCCTGGAGCTCATGGCCATCAGGGCGGCAGGGGCCCCTGTGAGTACCACCTTTGGGAGCTCAGCAGCACACGACCTCCCCTGCATCTGGCTAACACCTCGCCCCAGTCTCAGACCGGCCTCCAGGCACCGGCGGCCACCCAGCGTCCTCGCTCAGCCCTATGTGCTGGCCCCAGTCTTTCTGGCCAGTCGTTGGGGTGGGCTGGCAGTGAAGGGACCCACTTCATCCTGTGTTCGCCACTGACCCTAGGCTGAGAGCCACGCATCCCACAGCCACCACTACTGAGCCCCTGTGAGGGGCGTTGCGGGGGCCAGAGGGTCTCCGGTGGGAGAAACGGCCCTGACACTCCCACCACAACACCCAACATCCAGGGATTTGTCAGTTTCCAAAATTACAAAGGTCGTGTGGAAGGCTGGTCAAAAAAACTCGGGTCCCTGTTTAACCTGGGGCTGCTGTAGAGGGTCCCACCCCACCCCACCCCAGTTGCTTCGAAGTTCCGTGGTCTAGCAGAAGGGAGCTTGCTCGAAGCTACGCTGGCTCAGCACCACTGGACACAGAACCCGTTTCCGAGGGGTGGTCCTCCCCAACCCCACTCCACCTTGACAGTCCCCGGGACTCATGCTCCCCACAACAGGCCTGCCCACTGCTGTCTGGGACCCTCTCCTACACTCAGGGGGGAAGGGGACAAGAGCAGGGAACCCCACACTGGGACAATCTTGCCACCAGCCCGGCCCACCCTCATCTTCAGCCTATGTGCTGTGATGTAGCCAGTGGCTCCTGGGGGCCGGCAATGGAGGCTGGAAGTCCAGGCGGATTCAGGTTTAGAGTCCACTGGGAAAGATAAGATTTTTCTTTCTTTTAAAGCAGGGGTCCTCAAACTACAGCCCACGGGCCACATGCGGCCTGCTGAGGACATTTATCCTGTCCGCCGGGTGTTTTTGCCCCATTTGTTTTTTTCACTTCAAAATAAAATATGTGCAGTGTGCATAGGAATTTGTTCATAGTTTTTTTTAAAAACTATAATCCAGCCCTCCAATGGGTCTGAGGGACAGTGAACTGGCCCCGATTAAAAAGCTTGAGGACCCCTGTTAAAGCATGAGCCAGTTCTGAAGGGCTGGCAAGCACTGAGGCCAAGAGGTTAGGAAAAGCCAGGGGGACCTTGAGGACATCCTGGAAGCCTAGAGATCTGGGGTGCAGGGAAGGCACAGTGACAGTAAAGTGGGGACTTCAGAACCCAGCGCTGGCTTCACAAGCGGCTGGAACCACCCCTGGGGGCTGAGCATGAAGCTAGCCGCAGAGCTGCCTCTCAGGGCATCACCCAGCCCTCTCGGCAAAGGATGGCAGTGGCCCACAGGGTGAGACCTGCCAGCTCTGGCATCTCCCACCCCCAGCTTCAGCCTCACACTTAGCCCCAGTGCAGGGCACACCTGCCAGGGCCCCCTTCCATGCCCAGAGATCCAGAGTGGCGCGGGTTGGATCATAAACCCTCCACTCACACAGGCGCCTCGGGCCTGCCCACATCCGTACAGAATAAAGTGCTTCGTTTATTGATGATTAAGATGTCCCCTTGCCCCAGCGCCACGGGCCTCACAGGGAGGTCAGCAGGGCTCTGGACCCCTCCGCTCTCAGGCCGATGGGAACCAGCGCCCTCCCCCATCCCCATCCCCAACCCCATCAGCCCCTTGGGCTCAGGGCCCTTCCTACAGCCACGCTGGGAAGGTGGTGGTGATGGTAGGGTGGTCGTAGGGCTTTAAGGTGCAGAGTATTACAAACAAAAACCGTATAAACTCCATTGGGAAAGGCTTAACTGGGGAACAAATAGCTTATGGAGTCTTGGCCCCCCCTCTCAGAGGCAGGAGAGAAGACATTAAATGACAACAAAAAAGCTGTCTGATTCGTGCCCGGCCTCACAGGGGCAGTGAGCACTGGGCAGCCCAGCCCAGGGGTGGCCCAGGAGGGACAAAGACGGCTGGAGACCAACCAAGAGCGGCTTGTGTGCAGGACCTCCGTGAAGATGAGGTCTGGGCTGGCCTCCGGGAGCAGAGACAGGGAGGACACACACACACACATCTCCCGGTGTGGGAGTCTGGGCCAGGGCGCTGCTGAGGGACAGGGTCCCATGGCCAGCAGCTCTGCTCCCGCCCCACAGATAGCACCTGGAAACCCTGAAACACTCACTGACCCTGCTCCGGGGCCCCTGCCCCTCCTGGGGCCCCCTGGGTGGCAGTCCTGCCTGGGCCTGACGCAGAGCACCCAGTGGCTTCAGGGGATGTCCTTCTCAAGGCTCGGGCCCTCCATGCAGCTGGGCAGAGGCATGAGACCCTGTGCTGGGCAGCAGGGCCAGCTTGCAAAAAGAAAGGCCCTGGGGCCCAGCCCGTCTGTCCCGCTGCCCCAGCACAGAACCAGGACGCTGGTCTTCGCACCCCACGGCACCCCCAGCACACGCAGACACCCAGCTTCAAGCCGCCGCCTCCATGCGGAAGCCCTCAGACGGAGCCCCCACCTTGTCCAAGGCAGGGGATCTGGGAGCCCCCCAATTTCTCTCCATGCCCTCCAAGATGTAGGCCAAGTTAGGGGGTGCAGGGCAGGTGGGAGGAGGCACTGACGCTGCCCCAGGCTCAACTGCCCAGGTGGACCCCACCGCCCCACTGCACCTACCGCCCACCTGGAGGGGGGCTGCAAACCCCTTCCTCTCTCTGTCGTTCACCACTGGAGAAAAAGGTTCTAAGGAGTCACTGAATGGGGGAGCTCTCAGGAGGAAGGCAGCCTCCCACCAGCTAGGGGGGCACCTAGCCTACACGACCCCCCTCTCCCCCCACCCCGGGGAGCAGGGGGTTCCCCCCAGGCCCCCGGGGTGTGCACCACTGTGGGGTGTGGCAGTTAGTTTTCCGTGTGCATCCTCCCCGGGGCAGCGGTGGCGTTGGCAGGGGTGGGGAAGAGTGGGGGCGGGGGCGGCAA